AAACTGCCAGACGCGGATCGCGATTTCGATCTTTTTGGATCTCATCAGCGCGTCGCAGGCAGCTCCGACAGAACACAGACCAACTTTTACCTGCTGTCTTAACAGTGCGTTTCAGAAAAATTGAAAAATACGTAATCCTAAAATGTAGCATCGTACTACAGATGGCGTTTCCGCGTCATTTGTGGTATTTTCTAAAACGCTTAAGCTAACGTGCCTATCACGTTGAGGTTGGTTACGCCAGGATTCGTTTTCAGCAAGTAGATATCCACACAAGTGGACCTTGTTGAAAAATACGTAATCCTAAAATGTAGCATTGTGCTACAGATGGCGTTCACTGTGCCGTTTGTAATATTTTCTGATACGTTACATTATCCCCCCCCCCCTATAAACGATTTATTGTAATGAAAAGTAGCAATGAAAAGGCTTTTTTAAGAACCAAGTTAGGAAATGAAACAGATGAACTGCGAACGTCACCACATTTCCTTAGTCCTCCTCCCCCTTTAAACACCTTGTCACGCTAAGCAATACCCCTCCCTCCCACTTATTTACGAATGTATTTTATATGAACGAATCCATGGGTAATTGAAAAGGAAATGAAAAAGAAAATTGAAACTTACTGTTAAGGTAATATATTCCATTTTGGTCGACAAAAACGTTAGGGAAGACAAACTGTGATTCGTATTCTAAGTCGGTCCCTTCTGCACCATCTGAAACCACAGAAAATGCCACTCAACACAAACAGAAAAAATCGGTTGTCTGTAAAGTCGGTTTACTGACGATAGTTGAACGTGACAACGTCATAAGAAAATACTGATGGAATGGTTTCATTTTTTAAAAGAAAATTTCAATTTTATTTGTTTGATAAATATTTTGTATGGATATAGAGAAGGAGGTAAATGGAAATGTATTATTGTATAGCAGCTGTCCATGCGGACGCATCGCTCGCTCGAGTAGGAGAGAGACAGATGTCGAACGCTGCCGAACGCGGAGGCCGATTGTGCCTCTGTCGCTCGTTCCGCGCTCTCGCTTGCACTTCAAGCCTTAAATGGAACGCCTCAGAGCGAGGTAACGCCGCATGAGTCACGTTTTTTCGTGCGTGCAGCCGGCTCCATCGAATTATAAGACGTTGTCACGTCAAAAACTCCAACATAAACATATTTGATAAATTCATGGAATTGAAGGGTTGGAAGGTTTATATTTGTGTGTAGAACTAACGCCGACGTTTCGCCTCCAATTGGAAGCCTTTGTCAAGGTAGGTACTTCAGTTAGACAAGCATACGTTCCAAGAACTTACCTCGACGAAGCCTACCAATTAGTGGCGAAATGTCTGTGTTGACTCTACACACAAATGTAAACCTTTCAACCCTTAAATGTCTAGATTCTTTGCTTCTTTACCTTTTTATATCTAAACTAATGGGATGATATGGAGAATACATATTTGATATATTTTTGGGCGAAAATTCCGCCAGTACAAGAAAAGAAACCAAAGAATCATCATTTGAGAATGTTCATTTACCTACCTGCAGAATGGTGATCCGGGGTGCAGGTTGACGTCGAGTTGGCCGTGGAACATGTGGTACCCGTTGATGTTTGTGTGTGATAGTTTTTAGGCTTGCTGAGATAGCCTTTCTTAAACAAAACGTCCTGTCTAGGGGTTGTAATTCGTGTGTATTCATCTAGAACAAGGATACATACACTTTGTTTATTGGACAAAATTATAACATTTTTTTTAATAATAGATAACATATACAGTCAAATTATCCTAACCGTAAAGTCTTAAGGATGTTTGGGAGGTATGTCAAAATGCTACGAGACAAATAAAAATTTGGAAGAACGTTCCCCATTCAATTCTAAAACTCCTGTAAAAATTACAAATCGATTCACTAAACCGTTAAAATGTTATTAAAATTTTAAAAAATTGTAATTTTACACATCATTTTATGGAGATTCGTTGACCGAACAGATTAAATTTATTTTTATTAACAGAAAAAAAGCTACCAGAAATTTCAAACTTTTATAATAAGTAACTTGAACTCTGGAGAATCACTTTAGCGTAAGGTTATTCAAATTCACTAAATGGTTATCGAGGAAAAAATGAAAAATTAGCTGAAAATCTCGTTTTTACTTGATAATATAATGATAATATTTATAATTGTCTGAAATAAATGCAATTTTAAAGTTTTAATTATTATTTAAACATATTAAATGGTTTTACGCTTATTAGTAATAAAGATTGAAACTAAATATTTTTTTATTTCGAAGTTGAAATCAAGGCATATTCACTGTCAAAAGTCAGTTAAAAATTTTCCATATTATTCATTATTTCTTATTTTATTCAATGTTTTTTGTCAAATTCCAAATTTTCCCTCAAACCGTATACTTGTTTTTAGTATAGAAACTAATTATTTTTTTGTTTCGAAGTTGAAATCAAGGCATATTCACTGCCAAAAATCAGTTAAAAATTTTCCATATTATTCATTATTTCTTATTTTATTCAATGTTTTTGGTCAAATTCCAAATTTTCTCTCAAACCGTATACTTTTTTTTTTAGTATAGATAGTATTTATTTACCTCATGATATGCTGCAAATCTAATTAAACACGAATTTCTAATTGTATGTACTCTTGTCTCCGATTGTACCTCCCAAGAATGGGAGAGAGTTTTATTTAGCGACAAGTCAAAGTTCGAGATTTTTAGGTGTAAAATAATAGAGTTTGTGACCAGATCCACTTAAGAACGGATCTAAGATTCATGTGTAATCTCTACTGTGAAACACGGTGGAGGCTAGATGATGGTTTGGGGACGTTTTGGAGAAAGGGAGACTGGAGACTTGGTAATAATTGAAGAGATTCTCAAGAAAGGCTATAAAAAATAGTACTAAAGGAAAATGTAGCATGTTTTGGTCTTGGTTTTATCTTCCAACACGACAACGATCCTAAACATTCAGAGGAAGAATGTGCTTAAAGTCATGGTTTGGCGGTCACAGTCCCCCGACCTTAGGACGTTACATTGATGAATCAAAAATTTAAATATGAAACATTTATATATTGTAGTTTTATCATTACTGTATTCTTATATATTCAAGTTGTACATAGGGTAGACAAAGTTTTTCGACCGGTAGTGTATGTTGTGGAGAACGAATGTTGTTCAAATGAGTAGAAGGAGATGGGAAAGCTCAATATCTTCTTATAGCATGTTCGTTTCTATACACTGTACGGTTTTTAGCAAATACTGCTGAACAAAAAGTTAAAAAGCCAATATCGATAAAACGTGAAACAGCACGAACACTCATTAGAAAACCTCAACGGACACAAAAACCTAATAAGTGACTTTTTTAGGACACGGCGAAAAAGATTTGACGGTGTATTATTGTAATTATTAGGTAAAACATGCATGCAATTGCATTAAAACTCGCTCAACTACGAAGCGATAGTATTGCTATTATCGGTTACCGGTTACAAAAAAATACCAATCGATTGCATTTGTTATTGTACATAAATAAATTACCTACAGCCACCTTGGTACATTTATAAATAGGTGTGGAGTGCAGCAATGCAGTTTTACACAGCGGAGCGGAGTGAAATGGGTTCCTGTTCTTTTTATTTGCATTTTTATTGTCTTTTTTTTATAATCGGTGCAAGTTCAACAAACTAGCGAGTCATTGAATTTAATCATAATTACTCGGTATATCGAACATGACGGTTCATTATCCGATATTGAAGTAATATCGTGAAAAACAGCCGAACCATTATTACAATACCTGAGCGAAATTAATTAAAACAAAGGTTAAATTTTTTAAAATAATTATTCAAACAATAAACTACGTATAAATTATAAACAATTTACATTCAAGCGCTGAAGTACGCATTTTAATGGGAAGAGAGTTAGATTTCAACTCATCATCATAAGGTCGTCAGTCCTAAGACTGACTGGACACGCACCTCCACTCCTTCCTATCCTGATCTAATCTTCGCATATTCCTAGAACTAGAACAACCCACATCCTCAAATATTTGCAAACAGTAATCTAATCTAGATTTATCTCTACCTCTCCTAACTCCCATTTCTGCCACTAATATGTCTTTCACTAGACCTTAATGCCTGAGAAGGTACCAACCTATCTCGCCTTTTTCTTATTGCTCTCTAATGCCTTCTCATTTCTAACCTTCTGTATCCACAGTATTCTCATCATTCGCCTGTAACCCCACATTTCGAACGCTTCTAATCTTTTCTTTTCCGCAGCGCCCACCGTCTATGTTTCGCAACCGTACATCACCGTGCCTCAAGCATACACCTTTAACAATCTTTTTCGAATTTCTAAATTAATCGTTCGCGAGCATAGAAGTGACTTCTTTTTATTGAAGGCGACTCGACCCTGCGCTATCATCTGCTTTATATCCCTACTACTCCTTTCGTCCTGACTTATTTGACTTCCTAGATATCTAAAATCAGCTACTTCTTTGAATTTTTCGTCTCCTATCTTTATATTCGCTCTTTCCCTACTTTTTCTTCCCTTCCATACCATATTTTTGTTTTACTTTTATTTATTTTCATACAATACTATTTCGTCAGTACCGCATCCATTTTATTTAAAGCTATCTCTAACTCCTCCTTGCTAGATGCTAATACTGCTATATCATCTGCAAATCTAAGCATACTAATCTTTTGCCCCTGTACATCTATCGCTACAGTTGTACTGTCTTTAATGATGTTGATCGCGTCTTCGATGTATAGATTAAAAAGTAGCGGTGACAGTGTGCATCCCTGTCTGACTCCATTCCTAATATTTATTTCTCTACGTTGCAGCCCCAGCTCTATAACCGCTTGTTGCTCTTTATACAAACTTACTATCACTCTTCTGTCTTTATAACTCATCCCTACATTTTCAAGTATGTTTAACATCTTGTCCCAGTTAACACTGTCAAAAGCTTTTTCTAAACCTACTAATCCTATGTACAGATTTCAACCACCCTCTGAATTATTTTTTAAAAATATCTACAAGTTAAAAATTACAAAACAGGAAATTGTAAAACTGTAAACTTATGGAAAGGGAACGATTAAAACGAAAAATTGTAGTCAAGTAAGGTCCCTACTTAGGTCGACGATCAAAACTTTTTGAAGTGAGAACAAAAACCGCACGTTATTCGTTGTTCTGAATGCGATCCCGTGCCTACTATAATAGAGTACATGTATTTACATCTCGGTTTTCATTATTAGTAGCTTAAGAGTCCTAAGTACACCCCTAATAATAACGTCACGAACGGGCGATGTCCTCTCCCTGATCGTAATTGACTTTTTATACTGAATAGCGTACGTTCTCGATTAATTTTTTTCGAGATGTAGTATTATGAGACTATAAAAAATATAGAATACGTTCTGTATGTCGTCGAATAACAACTGATCTACATATCTATGTAAAATAAGCCCTTGTCATGTTATTAAAAGTGTTCAAATCCTTATTAAATTCTGATTGTTTATTTGTTTGTTAAATCACGCCTCAAAATTCATAGAATTCTCTTAATGGATTCTATTTCGCTTAAAACTCTTTAGAGTATTAGAGAGTACCCTACCCCATGTTGAAATACTTTCGGTACATCCCCCCATAACACATACATATTGTACTGTTAAAGTGAAAAATAACTGTTTTTATTAAATTGAAGTACGTTTAATATAACGTTGAAATGTTTATAACTATTCATTTTTTTATAACCCATTATGATTTAAAAACTTTTTACTAACAATTCTTTTCTTCCTTGAATACACTCTATTTTACTATTGTTTATGCAATAAAAGCTGCAAGGTCTTCGGTTTCTAATAAATGGTGTCAAATGCGTGCAAATCGTAAATGTATTTAATAACGTGTAATAAAACGATAAAGTCTTTGCCGTTGCGTTTCCATTACTTTAAATTTAGATGCATATACGAAAACGGTAATTACAAACACTTAGATTAGAAAATATTTTTCTTGAATGAATGTAATGGAATCAGTCACAGTAAATATACAATGTATACTTACAGGAACTTATTTATATAAATATATGTTAGGAAAGCATATAATTTTTTTCATTTAATTGAATACAAAGGTCGGAATAACGAACGACAACATCGGACGGAAACGCTTAAAGAACCAGGACGAAAATTCGTAGATGCAACAAAAATATTCATCAGACCAAAACGCATGTAGTCATTTTTTTTAAAGAAAGGAAAATACTTTTTATTAATTGCTTTCTACAATCCAATTTACCTTCGTTAAATGTAATTTTTTGTTCGCTGGTTGTGCTACTTGATCGTGTGGATTTCCCCTCATACTGGAACTTCCTAGTAGGAGTCGACTGACTAGAATAAGGATATTTTGAATACCTTGGCTGGTAGCTTTTGGAGAATTTGAAGCTAGGTGCAGTGCCGGAACTTTCACTGTCACTTTCGTGTCCTGAAACAATAGAAATAAAAAAAAATTAACGTCTATCACTATACACACATTGAAACGACTAAAATGTAACCCATGATTGCATGCCGGATATATTCGATAAAATCTTTTAATTATTGTCCTAAATAATTATATATATTGTAATAAATAAATTGATTAGTGAAAGTGTCATACTTAGCAGTGTTAGATCATGGGTCAAAAGACCTTTGCTGTTAATGCTAATTTCTGAAACATCTGTTTTCTAATGTAATTTTTGTTTTTTATAAACGTTTAAAATGTTTGTTAGGTACATCTTCACGTTCTACCTTTTAAGTCGTAACTTCATTCTCCTGAAATAACAAGTTCCCCTTATTTTACGTATATTAAGCTGGCATAACAAAGTTACATTTCTCATTTCCAAAATGCGCCATAATTTGTCGCTAATTTGTCCCCAAATTCAAAAATTTGTCGCCCCAGCCAGTTACTGAGAAATAGAAAAATGCTAGCCTGATACAAACTAGCATTGCACATGGCGTCGCTGGAATATGAAATGGCGCGGAAAAATGCAGTTCTTATTTTGGTTTTCGGAAAAAGCTTCAATTTCATTTAAACTATTATACAGATGCCCTGTATAATAGTATATTGTATATTCACTGGCTTTTAAATAGGATCGCAAGACACTCAACGAATTTTCAAATTTTTGACCAACAGACAATGCTTTTAAAGTACGTTTGATGACATATTAACACACGCAAAAATGTCTTTAATGTAATATATAAATGAAATAGGCTTAGTATTTTTTACTTATTGTTAGTAGTAACTAGTAAGTCAAACAAGTGAACTTAGCAAGCGCGGAAACTGAATTGCCTGCATAAATACGTTAAAAAAGATAGGTTAAAATCGACCGTAATTACGGGATTCCCTCAGAAAATTCGACTTATCGAAGTTGGCGCAAAATATTTCGTTCGAGTTATCAAGATATTCGAGTAATCGAGGCAAATTTACACGCATTTCCTACTTTTGACGCTATTGCCAACCAATTTGGTTCGACTTATCAAAAATTCCAGTTAATATCAGATCATTTTTCAGTAACTGGCAGGAACGAAAATTTTTTGGATTTGGCAACAATTTAGCGACAAATTATAGTACACTTTAGAAATAAGTAAGAAATACAACTTTGTGATGGTAGCTTAATTACGTTCTCGTTTCGGTAAAGTCACCGAAATCGGTTCAACTGCTTTAATAATTAATTACCCCAAACAGACATGCAAACAGATCTAGATAAAATACATAGAATACAAAGCATCTATTTTTAAATAGATACAATTCTCGAGATAAAAAATGATAACAATTATCGTACTTGTTCCTATTACAATATTTGTCTAAATATTAAATTAAATCAAAAATAAAAGCATGATAAAAGTAATATTTCATCCAGCACTTTTATTATTTGCTTTTACTTTTATCTATTACAAAGTTCTGCACTGATGAAATTTAATTAGACATACCAACAATTTCATACAATTTATTACTGAACATATAAATTGATTACGTACAAATAAATCAATATTAAATAAGATCATCAATGACTTTTTAATTAATTTTATGTCTTAGTTGATCCGTACCAAAATGATTTAAGTTCAAAGGTTTTCATTAATATTTATACGCATGTTTACTAGACCGATTTATGTCTTTATTGTACGTGGTTTTTAAACATTTTCTTCCTCAATTTAATCTGTTAAAGTTGAACTAGTTAAACCTGATAAATCCTGTAGACTTCGGAATAATTTGATACATGTAAGAAACGATTTAAACCATTATAATACAAGAACAAAAAAGCAGAATGATATCATAATCTGTTTTAAATAATTCAGCATCCGCAGACGTACCTTCCAGTCACAAAGGGTGCCTACCCGACTGGAAATTAGTTCAGAGAACCCGGATTATGATCAGATGCGGATCAGATTTTCCGTAATACGGGCATCTGATCAGTTTCTGATCAGAGTACAGTACTCCATTCCTTGAAATGGTCATACGATCAGAAACTGATCAACGCACAGTATCTTCTCTATCTGTTAATCCAACCATCTGATCAGAAATTGATCATAGTAGAGTTTCCTATCCCTTAATCCAGTCATCTGACCAATTTCTTATCACAATATAATGCTACAAATTCTATTACGGTTTCGGTACAATCTTTAAATCAAGATCGTATCCGATGTTCTGAACTGGATCATAATACAGAACTTTATTTTTTACCTGATTTATTCTGTATGCAAACAAACAGATCCGACATGGATTTTTCAAATGGATCCTATGTTGATCATATATGGCGTGACGATTTTCCATCATACCCGGATCAGAAAGCCTGATTTATTTCTAATCAATCTTCAGGCAATTTTGATTCGCATCGGATCCAATCCACTAACTTTAGTAGTTTTTTATTATTAAGTAATTTAAATAAAAACAATGAATCGTTTCTTTTGCTCTATCTGCTTCAAAAAAATTTCATTTCTCATAGTTTTAAAAGAATAAAGAAAACACTTGACGTTAAAACAAGTTGGTAAAACACTTTCAGTTTGAACACTGATCTTGTTTCATAAAGATAAGTTCAAATCACAATTCACATCTGTACCTAATAGATTTGTTGTATGTTTTTCAATTTATTATTACTATTTATTAAATTACTTCTATTGAATCATGCGTAAGATTTCTAGCAGTAAATGCTTTCAAATTTGCGATTTGCTTTAATGATTTCGTAATCACATTCGTCACAGTTTTCTTAATTAACGTGGTGGCATTAATAAACTTTTATAGAAGCTCGTTCATCATACAAAAGCTTTCAAAAGATATTTTTTTAGAAGGAGTCGTTAAACTTGCATTAACAGTGCCGACAAACCGTCTAAATTTAAAAGTACTTAACAGTAGTACCAGTTCAACGAAATAAAAAGAATTACTAAAGTGAAACATCCTTAGAAAAAGTCTATTCATCACATAGGAAGCTGTGGCCGTAGATTATTTTTTTCTTTCACTTCGGACAGCATAATTACTCCATCACAAACGTAGGTCACATTATAAATATATATATATAAGACCTTATTTTGTCTGCTATTACCTAATCCGTCTTCTATTAAAGACACTTATTAATACCTCTCACGATAAAACGGTAAGTATATGTATTAGATCGATATAAAAATTTCTTGCACTCTGACTGGAAAATCCTAAACTACTTCAAAGGTCAAAAACTCTAATAAACCTTTGCTATAGACAATATTATCTATTGTTAAAGAATCTCAGATTGTAGATTACAATTATTTTAATTGCTTCGCATACACATAGATACTACACACTCACGATAAATGGGGCATGAAAACATTTCAAAGAAATTGCTGTTATCCAAATTTTAACAAGATAACAACAATCAAATATATAAAAACTTTGATAAGAATTATCTCAAATTGTCATTTTTCCATTATTCGTTCCTTACCAACACGGATAATGCGATAGCAATGTTACTAAATATACTTAACACCAGCGCATGTCACCGCTACGATCATACGTCACCTTAAAATTTGAAAATATACGCGACATCAGCACAGTTATTACATATTATATACTGCACGGTAGCGCAACACGGAAATATACGCGACATCGGCACAGCTATTACATATATACTGCACGGTAGCACAACATGGAAATATGACCGTATTACTTTATTAAACAACTTTTAATAAACTTCAAATGAATCGATCGGTATTGTAGTATTACATTTCCCAAATTCTCATACGAGAAATACCAACAACACTCCGTTTCCTGCAAAATCTTCAACAACTTCTTCCATTACGTTTATGACTCGATGTATTATGAGGAATAATTAGTACCTAGTGTACATATAACCCACTAAGGGAAGAAAGCATTGGGGATGAAATGCCACCTGAGCCAAAAGTGGGGGCAGCTAACTCCCGGGAGGCACAGGGGTATGGCGAAAATAATCAATTAAGTGTGTCTCTTTTATCGCATTCAATATCAAAAAACTGTAGAATAAAAAAGCCTCCAATATGAAAAAAAAACAAAAACAAAACAATATCAATATCATAAGTACCATCTTAAAAATTAATTAAAAATTTCCTGCAGAAAAAAAATTGAATGTATTTAATCAGAAAGTCACACCTTTCAATTATTATTGTATTTTTATCTAATTTATTAATACAACACTATGTGTGTCGTCATTTATATAAATATTGCACAACATATTTCTTGAAATAATACAGAAATTGTGTTATTCGTAGATCTCTCAGATTACAGTAAATTACATAATGTCGTTATCTTCATTATCTATAAAATTACGTAAATGCGATTTTTAAAATTACAGTTGACTAATGCCATACATACCTGAGATAGCATTTCTCGATGTAATAAATTTGCTTTACAGCAAGAAAATCGGATAATATGGGAGTATTTATCACGTAAAACGCATTTTTCAACAAATTTGAGTATATAATTAGTACCAATTTAATTTTTTTCGTTTACAATTTACTCATATTTAGCAAATACTATGTATTACAGTTGGAATCATAAACCATTCTTAAAGTTTTAAGTTTAGTTTACTGACAGAATATATTAATAAATAATTGCACAAGTTTTTGCATATTTAACACGTAATCTTATTGCATTATTACGTTTGCACTAGTTGTTATTGGCTAATTTACGAAAATATGAACTATTTTACTGCTTACTGGCAATTATAAATTATTTATTATTCGTCGGATATTTGCGTGGAATCACTCAAGGTCCGTTTACAGGTCCTTTTCTTTTACATCTATTATATTCACCGTTCAGAACACACTGGTAACGTATTGTACTTAAAACATACTTTAGGAGACCTAAACAAAGTTTATATATACCTATCCTTCTTCTAAATGAAAATATGGATCATTGAAAAAGTGAAGTTTCAAATGTTGCTATTAACAAACATTGTGTAACTATGTTTAGTAGACAAACATCTTCCATTAATAGCATCAGTT